TTATTTAATCATAGTTTGTTCCTGGATCAATCTTTGAATCTAAGTTGGCGTCGACTTCTCCTAAAAAATAGGAAAATTTGTTTAATTTGCCTTTTAATCATTGTTTCATGGAAAATAGAGTCTTGCACATATTCAAACATAAATATCTCAAATTAGCATTATAAAAAGGAGGTAACAAGAATTAATTAACGACAAAATATTAACCAAATAAAACAATCATAATTATGAGTCCTATTATTTTATTTTATAGTTTTTTTAATTTATTATAAAAAAATAAAGAAAATATTATATTAAAAAAATAATTTGTGGGCCCTAGGAAAGCGCTCCTCCTACCCTGGCCCTAGGGGTGAGCGATCATCGAGTCGAGTCAAAATATTTCAAGTTATTCTAGTTGACGAGTCTTATTTTATAACTCGGACTTGATTTAAAAAAATTTGAGTCGAGCTGATTTTTTGAGTTTCTGTTTAAATTTAATTGTAAATATTTATAATATTATAATATTATTAGATTCCAATTGAAGTGACTTTCTATAACCATATATACAATACAAATATATTTCTTCATATTTTTTTCATACGTGATATACATATATCATTCAATGGGAAATGAATCGATTAAAACTTAAAAATAAATCTACTAATTACTAAAAAATTTGAGTTATTCTAGTTGAATTTTACAACTTGATTTGAATTTGAAACTTTTTCTAGTCGAGTCAAGTTTATAAAATTGCAACTCAAAGTCAATTTGAGTTGAGTTTTTTCTATTCGAATCGAGTCAATAATTCAATTTTTCAAGTCGAATCGAATTTTGCTCACTCTTACCTGGCCCAGGGTCGACCCTGGTACCAACACATGGAAGACTAGAAGGACTTCAAAATAAATTTAAAGTAACTATGAAATGAAGTCTATAAAAGCGGAAGCTAGCAAACAAGCAAGACAACACCTTTTACACTACTACTTTCCTCTCCAGCTTAGTTTTCTTCTCTGTTTTGAAAATCGGACCGGACCGGCCGGTTCAATCGGGAACCGTTGCTTAGTCCGGTTCAATCTAAACCGGTTGAACCGTTACTAGTGAACCGGCCAGAACCGCTGAACCGTTCGAACCGGACCGGCTGAAAACCGGAAAAAACCAGGAAAAATCGGGATTTTTGTTTTTTTTTAAAAAAAAATTAAACCAAACAACGTCGTTTGTTAAACGAGCCAAGTCGAACTCGAGTATTGCTGAGCTCGACTCGAACTTGAAAACTTTAAAAGTAAGCTCAACTCAACTCAAACTCACAAGCTAAAAATTATCAAGTTCAACTCAAACTCGAAATATAACATTGAAACTTGAACTCAAAAAGGCTTGAACTCAAAAAAAAAAATTAGAAGCTCGATTGAAGCCTAAAATTCGAGCTTGATTGAAGTGAAAGAATAGTTCACTCAATGCTCACCAAGAGGCTCCATGATTTTGAATTCCAAATTACCTCGATTATTTATAGAAGTTAGTTGTGATGCTCTTCTATGTTTCTTAGCAATGTGAGATTGTTTTATTCTCATATTTTTATTCTTTAGACTTTTGGGATGCTCTTCTATGTTTCTTAGCCATGTGAGATTGTTTTTTTTATAAAAAAATTAAACCAAACAATATCATTTTGTTATGATTTTTTTAACCCCAAATTTATTTTTTAATTATAGTTATATAATTATATTTATTATTTAATATGTTTTACCTTAAATATTATTATGTTGTAGTTAATTTGAATCATTTTGTTTCACTTGATTTTATGGTTTTTAACTTATATATGTTATGACTTGCTTTGAATATGACTTGTGATATAAAAAATTATTTTTTATTAAATATTTTTGGTATTTTTATTTAATTTTTTAAATAATTATGACGTCGTCCGGTTCTTTCGACCGGTCGGATCGGTTCGACCGGTTGAACCAGTGAACCGGTAACATGACCGGTTCACTAACCGATCCGGTTCTAAAAACCATAGTTTTCTTAAGTTTTCTTTTGTAATCTTTCGTTATGTTTCTTTTGTATCACCATCCTCTATCATTGTAAAATATTTCTGCACCCATATCCCCTTGTAACTAGAGTAATACTTTGGAGTAATAACAAGAGCCATGAACTGATCGTGCCAAAGTTGATCAATGTTCTTAGGGGTGTTCAAACGGCTAATTGGGTCACTGATCAAACCGAATTTCTATTAATCGAATTAATCGAACTTTTACTTTAACAGTTAACCGAATCGAGCTTTTTAAAAAAAAATATGAATTGAACCGAATAAAGTTTGGTTATTTCGGTCGGTTAGCTGAATTAATCGAATTTTTTAATAATTTTTAATTATATTAATTCAAATATAATAGAAGAATATTTTTAATTTGGATTAAAATTTAATTATGTATTGATAATTTAATGAGTCTAATGTGATTAACAAATAATTGAATTTTTATTGTTAATGAGTTTGAACTTAAAATATGTATTTAATATATATAATATATTTAATATTTAATAACTTTATTTAATTTAGTTAATTAACCGTTAATAAAATATTAAAAAAATTGCAATACGTGGTTTTGCATACGACACGCTAGTCGAGGCGAAACCCAAGAGTTTAGCATTCCGACGTTATATTCCTTAGAACCCGTGGAATGCTGAAAAAGAATAAAGCTGCTTTGGGAAAAGAACCGATCAGAGTTGATACTGAGATAGTAGATCTGTAGGGAGAGAGGTAATCTCGGAATGTAGAGTCTTTGTTAATACGTTCATACACTTTGTTAATATTGAAATTCTAACGATGTAAGGTCAATACATTTACAAAATAAAACGAAACATTTAGATTTCTTTTATTTAATCTTGTATTAGCTTATCAAATTGTTGTGTTAGCCGAATGCTTTGAATGTTGATATGCGGTTACTCAGAAAAATCACTATGAGAACCTTCAGAAACAAATTCGGAATTAAGACTTGGATATTTATTTGTGTTTGGTTCAAGATTAGAGAATTTCAAATTCTTAATTATATTTGATTCGTTTGATTGATTTTTTGTGTTCGAAGTTGAATGAACTTTTAAGTGGATAAACTATTGTTAATCCTCTTTCCACTGCTAATAACGAACTAAAAGGACTATCATGGAGAAGATTGTGTTAAAGTAAGGAGGAAGTTGATTCATGTTTTTCTTTATCTAAATTGTATAATTGAAAACCAAAACTACAACACTACCTCAAAAAATTAGGATAATTTTATACATTTAGGGTGTTTTGGATAATGATTAGATTATTACCTCTCTTGTCTTATAGTGACTATTAGGGGTTACGCCTAGGACATCAGAATATCAAACCATGAACGAAGAAAGGTGTGCGAGAAAAGGAAAGCATATTGGCTAGTGATTATGACGTCCTAATTCTTGACTGGAGGGGACGCCTTTGATCGGGTCATGTAGGAACAAGGTTCAAGTCTATCGGTCTATTAGGATGCCTTAGCTACAATACATCTAGTCAGTACTACCATACATACCTTTTTGAAACCCAGCTGTTCGACCATGCTATGACTAGGGGCAATACCCTTAACCATTAGTCCCATACCTTCCCTTAGCCTTTCGCTTTCTGCCCTAGGTTATGAACCCGACATAGTTTGCATGATTTCATATGGGTTTTTCAAGTGAAGCAGGTGACATATATAAGATAGAGCGTGTGGATCTGTTCAAAAGAAGTAACCCACTAGGAGAGTCGCTTAGATAGTATGCCTCGACCGGAAGACAGTCTGTCTTTCCCACAATGCAGTTAACGTAGGGGAGTCCAGTTTTTTATGAATGAGAAGATGATCCCTAATCGCTGCTTTTGCTATCCCCCTTTCTATACCTCAAATATCTTCTGTCGACGCTGCTACCTACGAAAAAATGGAAAGAGGGCTTGAGGATGACTTCCCTCATCGACTGGGACCCCCAATGCTTTGAGGTGGCTGACGTAGCCTTTAAACGAAGCACTCCCTCATTCCCGGTATCTTATAGTGGATGTCATTCCTATTAGTCCCTGACTCAACCCTCTTACCTGAAGGAATGATGGTCCTAAATGAACTTCGTCTAAAAGGCTTGGTTGATGTCAGAATAGAGAACCAGATAACATTTTTCCCCTTGGTTTACTTTACTTCCAGAAGGCTCAAAAGTAGCAATTCCTGTTAGTGATGAATGAATAAGAAAGTCTTAGTAGACCACAAAGCAAAGGACCTCCATACTATTTTGTAACTGTGAAGTCTTCAGTTCAAAGTGATGAACAATTCACCAATGAGGCTAAGCGCGAAGAATTGAGGACAAAAAAGATTTCGACTAGCAGCACTTCCAAAGTCAAGGTAGACTTCCCTGCGTTCTCAGGGCATCCTGTTAGTATCCCCGGCCAGTAGCAAGACTATATGCTGCTCACGCTTATCTTATTTTGAATTCCATATTTCGTTCATTCACCTAGGAAGAGAAAATTATTCAATAGCTATTGAATACAAGATTGGAAAAGCTTAAATAAAATAGACATTATTCCTAACAATAGGTCCTGGAGACTTCTTGGTTCATCATGCTATTGTTCTAGGTTTACATACAACTACATTGATCTTAGTAAAGTTAATGCCGGATAAAAAGGATTTCGGTTATAATTTTTCTTACGATGGTCTGAGTCGAGGTGGTACTTGTGATATTTCGGCGTGGGACACATTTTATTTGGCGGTTTTCTGGATGTTAAATACCATTGGATGTGTTACTTTTTATTGGCTTTGGAAACACATCACATTATGGCAGGGTAATGTCTCACATTTTAATGAATCTTCCACTTATTTGATGGGATGGTTAAGAGATTATCTATGGTTAAACTCTTCACAACTTATCAATGGGTATAACTCATTTGGTATGAATAGTTTATCAGTCTAGGCGTGGATGTTCTTATTTAGACATCTTGTTTGGGCTACCGGATTTATGTTCTTAATTTCTTGGCGAGGATATTGGCAGACCTTGTTTGTAGAGAAGCGAATATGAGAGGTAACCTATAGACTCAAGCGATCAGCTCGATGAAAACTCACCCCGTATTCCATGTGAGTCAGTTGACTTCGATTAGACCAAACCAACCTAGAGAGGAACGTGCCCGCGAGGGCACCACTAGATGTTGTAGATGAAACTACTAAAGAAGAAGGTTGAGTATATCATATACTACAACAACTTTTCTTATTAGTGGCATCTAAGTTACTGTCACTAAAACTTCAATTTATGTCATTAGATGTATTTTGTGATGTAAAAGTCAATGTCACGACGATCGTCACCCTAGGTGTGTCACTAAATGTCAAAAGTGACGATGTATGTGTTATTGTCATGTATTGTTAAATATATAGTGACGCTAATGGATAATGTCACAATTTAATTTGCATTCAGTGATAATTACTTTTGTCACCAAATGATGTACATTTTCGTCAATAATAAATCATATCGTCACCAATAACACAATAATTTCATTGTATACGTGATGAAAAGAAAATTGTCACATTGTTAGTAACGTAGTATATCGTCACCTAATAGTAGCATGGATGACATTTATATATAACGTCACTATATAATTAATATTCAATGACAACTAATTATGTCACTAAATTATGTAAAATTTTGTTATTGATGATTTATATCGTCACAAATAATACAGTAAAATCAACCTATATGTGACGAAAGAGATATTGTCACATTTTTAGTGACATGATATAAATGTTACCTAATAATATTATGAATGACGTTTATGCATAACATCACTTTATAATTTATATTATATGACAGTTGGTTACGTCACTAAATTAAATAACATTTCGTTATTGATAATTTAGATTGTCACAAATAATGCATTCAAATCAACTTATATGTGACGAAAGAGATATTGTAGCAAAACACAAATAATTTATATTCTATGACATTTTTAATGACAATATATATTACAATTATTTTATTTATACAAATCTAAATAAAAAATAAAATAGTTCACTTATTGCAAAATAATAAGATTTAAACAAATATTTCACTAAATACATAATAATTTCATTTCTATAAATATAAAAATGTTTAAATGTTTACAGAAAATAAAAATAATATGACTTGAAGAATATTTTGTTATAGCAATCTAAATCCAAACCTTGAGTCGGTTGTGATTCTGTTGATGTTGAGTTCGTGGTATCATTCGAAGCTACAAATTAAAATAATCAACATTAGTTACTACAATCCTTACCTCGACTTGGTCCTCGTACATTTTTATGTGATAAATTGACTGAATCTATAGAATAAAAATATTAACTTTGGAATAATAAAAAATAAATAAATTATTCAACGTTGACTTTGCTACAAAGAAAATAATATGTATATATACATATTCTCAGTTTTTATATTTTTAACTATGTCATTGTTACTACTCAATCCTCATTTGCTATTCATTTATATAAATATTGGAAGTAGTGTTTACCTGAATTTTCAATTGTTATATATGGATCAATTTCTTCATGTGTTTGATTTGGAGCATCGGTAACTTGTTGAGATTCAGATTCTTGGGTTCGATTTAGTTTACTGGAGACTTTTTGAGTTTCATTTTCTTGTGTTTGAATCCTTTTACAAGATACTTTGCCTGGTGCCATCCTAAAACATATAAAAAAACTATTATAAATGCTTTCCCCATCTTTTGCAATCAATTGCTCTTAGATATTAGAGGGAACTGCAAAAGCGCATTAAACCACAACCAAAATCATCAATTATTATAGCACAACTGCTCTCCACTAACAGAGCATTCTATAACTTAATTCATAAACACAACAGTACGGTTACACTGAGAGAATGATTCATTTGCAATCCAACTACATTGATAATTATGCTAAATTGCAGAATTTTGCAAACTTACAATGAAATGATTCTAATAACAATATTTTCAACCAGTTTAACTGGAACTGTAAATAAATTAACATAAACAAAAAGAATGATATAAATTCAAAATTCACAAACACATGCACCTAAAGGAAGCATAGAAACATTGCAGAGTTTGAGTCAACATTTATTTATTAAATGAAGAATTATCAATGTGAAAAGGAAACAAGACATGCACAAGTTTTTGAATGAGCTTTCCAATCAGATTGCACAATATCGAATAATAAAAGCAGCAGCATTTAGTAAAATTTAAAAGAAAAAACTAAAATTATTTTGTAAAAAACAGCAATGTTTAACAAAAAATCAGAAATCAAATAATAAAACTAACCATAAACCATACAAATTCAACAATATAAAAAAACCATATTTAACAGCAAAGAAAATAAATTTAAAAGAAAACAAACAATTAACTGCAAATTAAAGTTGGAGAAACATTTGTACTACCTGCAAATTACCTTGATGATGATTCAGGGAAAAGTGGCTCTGATAGTTGCAAAGATGTAGACGTGGTGACTGTTCTTCCTGCATGTTCCACTTCCACAACAGCAGATTCCATGGCTGCTTTGCAGAATGGTAGCCACAGAAGATAAAAGGATCATTCTTTAGGCACGACGCGGAACCAGTTCATCGGGGATCATCCTGGTTTAGATTATGATAGTGGACATGACAATATGAATATGTCCTCATCAATCTGTGAGTTTCAGAATACCGAACGGGTGCCGCAAAGGGTTCCCCTTGGTCCGTTCTCTAAGCCGGCTCCGTCTAAATGGGATGACGCCCAGAAACAAAAAATAATTATAAAAATAATAAAACTATAAAGCAAAATTATCTCAATATAGAATATAGAAAAGAATTTTCTTATTTCACCTACTAGTTTATGATAGTATTCTTAATCCTAAAGGAAATCAAATACACATATGCTTCATAAAATGAAAATCAATGAATAAGGAAAGCAATAATGATTCATTATGAATAAGAAAAAAATACTACTATGAATAAGGAATATTCAATTTTATTAGAGGGAAGTTAAATTTTATTTGGAGGGAAGTTGAAAAATTACCTCCAATATATCTAAACATAATTATTAAAAATTAGAAAAATATAGAAAATTTAGATAAATTAAAAATAATTTAAAATAGTTATTAAAAATAAGGAATATTCGATATAAATAATTATGAAAAATAATTTAGATAAATATATTTTTTATATGTATTTTTTTTAAAAAATGTCTTTTAATATATATTAAATAATTTTTAATATATTTTAAAGAATTTTTTGGGATTGCATATTAAAGAATTTTTTTATTATTAAAAAAAGTTGCAATTCCTAAACTTAAAAAAATAATGGGTTTACATGTAAAGCTTCTCCAAATAGAATAAGCAAACTAACTTCAAATTTAACAATCCCTAATTCCTATTTCATCAAGTAAGTCACCTCTCTCACAATACCATTTTCTTATTGTGATCGAAACCAACTCAATGTTTTATAATATTAGTTTTTTTTATATAAAAGAGTAATATTTTATATTTTAAAATTATTGATGTTGTATGTATCTAAATATATTAAAACTTTATGGGTATTTCTCTGATCAAGTATAAATATCTATTTTTTCCTAAACACTTTGATGTAACATCATGGAAATCATTGAAGTATAATAATATATAAAAAATCATCTGGTCATTTCTTTTTTACGATTTATTATTTTACGTTTTACTCTAAAAAAAACATTGAATATGAGATAATCTAATATAGAATAACGTCAATAAAATAAAAAACACAAAAAAATATATAAATTGCATTATTTAATAAGGTTGTTAGATTATCTTATTTTTTAACATTAAGTGACATAATTTCATGGCGTCTTTTAAAATCGTCATATAAAAAAGAGAGATAAAAACAAGTGACAAATAATTGATTTCATCGTGCTAAAACTATTTTTTGTGACAATAATAAAATGTCACTTTTAGTGTCTTATAAAATAAAACAAATTAAATTGTCACGAATAAAACTTTAGTGACTAATGTGCAACACCACTAATTCAAATTGAATCGTCATTATAATAAATCGTCACTAATACCTGCTTTTCATTGGATATGATTTTACGTCATTATTTTATCTAAATGTCATTAAAAGGTTTCCCACCAAAACAATTGGTGAAAAGATTTTGGCGCCAAACATATAGTGACAAAAATCAATGATCATTTTTAAAATTGTCACAAAAGATATATCATTAATCAATAAATATGACGAAAATAAGAAAACGTCACATTATAGTATGTTTTGTGACGATATATGTAACGTCATATAGAAATTTTGTCATAAATTGACAAATTTGTTTTAGTATATTGATCTAGCCCATACACCCACTACACGAGTGAAATACTACTTAGTCAAGTAGAAGGGCTAACCTGAGTGCGAGGTGAGTTGGGAACGAGCTAAAACTTATGATTCGAAGACCAAGTCAGAGATTACTGGACCTTTCACAGAGCGACTCTCAACGAGGACATTAGCAAAAAAATCGTGTTTTGATTGCCTTGAACAATTCAATTTTTTATTTTTTTATTCCAATTGTATCTACATATTCTTTCTATTTTTTGGGGGTTGCTAACTCAACGGTAGAGTACTCAGCTTTTAAGTGCGACTAGCATCTTTTATACATTTGTATGAAGAAAAGGATTCGTTCATAATTATCGGTAGAGTTTGTAAGACCACGACTGAACTTAAAAGGGGTGGATGGAAAAAAGAGCATGTCGTATCAATGAAGAATTCTAAGAATCTATTTTTTTCCGGATCAGTCCAAAAAATTGTCTTTGAATTTTTGGTGCGGAAAAAAATGAATTGAATTCAAAGTTGGGTCGAGTGAAATTTTTCTCTCCTGAGTACTTGTTGCTGCAGATCTTGCATTGGATATTTGATCTATTAAATTTGGTGGCAAACTGCCAACAAAGGTCTATTGGGTTTCTACTCAGTTGATTTGACTGTCTTATTAGTTGATGTTTTGAATTGGTTGGGAGACACAAAGAGGCTACTCCAAAAGAGATGTTACAAACATGGTATCAGAGCCTTGATTCTGCCAACCGTGGGTGTGGGAAGAGGTGTCCTTTAGGTACATGCTAACTGTTTGACAAAAGGCGCTTTTAATATCAATGAATTGGTGTTTCAGTATGAAATTTGGTCAAACTAGCGATTAAACAATTTTTGAAAAATTGTCATAGAGTTTCGACTAGATTGAGACTAAAAAGAGCAGTTGTCCTTTCTACTAAAGTTATCCTTTTCTTCGCCCATCGCTCATGTGTTAAGTCATGTCTTCAGCCTAATGCCTTCTACACCATATCTGATTTCATTTCCTTACTACTCTGATCTAGCTACTCCTATTCTTTTAATGCCTACAGAGAGGTTTGGTTAGCCTGCTTCCTCTCCTTTCAAGGAGTGCTTATTCCTTTTTCTAGAGCAGCTTATTCTTGTACTACAGTACAGAACAAGGCTAAATGTTAACAAACAACCACCGGATCGGAAAGCTGTGAGAAGATTGCATTCAACCTCAGACGTGTAGTTCTCTCATCTTATTTTTTTAACTCGATTCGACTCAAAAAAAATTGACTCAAATTTACTTCGAGTTGCAATTTCATAAACTCGACTCAACTCTAAAAAATTTCAAGTTCAAATCAAGTAGTAAAATACAACTCGAATAACTCAAAATTTTTAGTAATAAGTGGATTTATTTTCAAGTTTGAAGTGGAGTCCTTCAACTTTGTATGATATATGTATATCACATATGAAAAAGATGAAATATATTTGTATTGTATATATGGTTATAGAAAGTCACTTAAATTGGAATAAAATAATATTATAGTATTATAAATATTTATAAATAAATTTAAATAGAAACTTGAAAAAATTTCAAGTCAACTTCGAGTTGTAAAATAGGATTGGTCAACTCGAATAACTCAAATTGTTTTGACTCGAATCGACTCGATCAAACGCTGACCCCTAGTGAGCAATGACTATACATTAACAGAAGTTTGTTGCTTTGTTCTCGAGCCTCGGCTCTTTGATTTGGAGTTAGAAAAATGTTCATTTAAGAAGTGTTGGATGTATCAATTTTTTCTCTTTGTGTAGGATTATTATTGTGCTCAATTTGGAGACTATAATTCAAGAGTATGAAATTATCAGGAATCCAAAAGTTATTACAGGTTCTGAACCGGAAACTAACAAGTCATTGCCTAATAACAACTTGGAGCCTTCTGTGAGGTCCACCAATAATAAATATAGCGCTCAAGTCCCTTCTGGTAATGACCAGAGTTTCTGGTTCACTATTCAACCTGCATATCAGCCGCCCCCAAATTACAAAACACAAGGCACAATAATGATGAATGAGGCACCAACACACATTATTCCCATTCCTGCTTTGAATCCTTATCAGGGACATTGTGTTGCAGAATACGGCTATCGGATAGAGCAAAATTGTAACTAATAATTTGAGAAAATAAAAATGAAGATAAAAGAGACACAAAATTTACATGGAAAACCCCTAAATAATATAGGGTAAAAACCACGGGCAACGGTGGAAGAATTTCACTATGAGAAAATAGGAATTACAACTTCTCTCGATCTACCAAGGAGAAAACAATGATAATTCTCTCTTGATAAAAAGGAGAAAACAACTCTCAAGAAACTCTCTGAATTCTCTAGTATTGGGAGAAAGCTAGAATGCTTTGGGATGATTTTGAAGCTAAATGAGCTAGGGTATTTATAGTTGAAACATAAGGACTAATTTGTAAATACCCTAAAGTACAATGACTAAATTGAATTATCCCAATTAATAAAAAAATTCCATGCACCTTTCGGTGCATTAATTCTTGAAAATAATTGCCAACTTGCTTGGCACTTTCGGTGGTGCATGCATTTTCAACAATCTCCCACTTACAGATTTGATTGGAACAATCATATCTTCACACCATTCTTTCTACCCTGTACCATCATGTTGGTTACGTCTCTGACAGGCCACAAGAGGATCGACACCAGGTAAATTTATCAGCATTGATCGTCTTCGTCATGAAATCTGTTATGTTGTCTTTAGTATGGATCTTCTGCATATCTACTGTCCCTTCTTCCACCTTTTCACGAATAAAATTATACTGAACTCGTTTGTGCTTTGTCCTTGAATGAAATACTGGATTCCTTGCTAGATGCAAGGCGCTTTGACTGTCACAGAACATAGAGACATACTCTTGATTGTGCGCAAGCTCTTCCAATAGCATCTTCAACCAAATTGCTTCTTTATTGGCTTGTGTAGCTGCTACATATTCTGTCTCTGTTGTGGATGTAGCCACAACTGACTGCAATTTTGAAACCCAGCTTACAGCTCCACCAGCAATTTTAAACACATATCCTGTAGTAGATTTGCTTTTATCCAAATCCCCTGCATAGTCAGAATCAACATACCCATTGATAAGTAAATTTGATCCTCCGTAACATAATGCAATATTTGAGGTCCCTTTGATGTATCTCAGGATCCTCTTTACTGTATTCCAATGCTCTTTGCCTGGATTTGCCATGTACCGACTAACCACTCCCATTGCTTGTGAAATGTCTGGTCTTGTGTATATCATAGCGAACATTAAACTTCCCACTGCTGATGCATACGGTACTCGAGACATCTCTATCCTCTCTTCTTCACTGCTAGGACTCGTACTGGAGGATAATTTGAAGTTAATAGGAAAAGGGGTAGAAATTGGCTTACAATCTTGCATGTTGAATCTTGACAAGATCTTCTTTAAGTAATTCTTTTGTGAAAGCCAAATCTTCCTATTACTTCTGTCTCGGTGAATTTGCATCCCAAGAATCTTGTTTGATGATCCCAAGTCCTTCATTTCCTGCAAAAGTAATCAAATTCTTCGCTTGTGTATTCTCCTCCATTATCTGTTCTGAAACACTTGATCTTATTTCCAGAATCAAGTTTCACCCGTGCTTTGAAGATTTTGAAAGTGGAAAACACATCTGACTTCTTCTTAATAGGGTACACCCAACATCTCCTGGAGTAGTCATCAATAAATGAGACAAAATATTTTGCTCCGCCTAGGGATGTAACTGGTGCTTGCCATACGTCAGAATGAACAAATTCTAGAACACTTTTGCCTCTAGAATTTGATGTGTTGAATTTCAACCGATGTTGCTTACTTGTTATGCAATGCTCACACAAAGTAAGTGATACCTTTGTTAAGCTTGGAAGTAGCTTTTGCTCCACAAGGACTTTCATTCCTTGTTCTGACATGTGTCCACGTTTCTGATGCCATAGCATTGCAGAATCTGAACTACATGAGGCAATAGAGATTTCTGCTTCTAGCAAAGTCTCTCCCTTCAGCATGTACAAGTTTGCAGCTATCTTTTCGCCTTTCAGCACCACAAGCTCTCCACGGAACACCTTCATGATTCATTTTCGTGTTTCAATCTTGCTAGCATTATTATCCAACAATCCGTAGGATAATAAATTTTTCTTCAGGCCTTTCACGTGCCATACATCTCGAACAACTTTAATTGTTCCATCATACATCTTCTATTTGATGGTTCCCACGCCAACAATATCTAAGGCATGATCATTGCAATTATACACAGATCCTCCTGAGACATGTTCATAATGATGGAACCTTTCTCTTCTTGAGGTCATGTGATATGTTACTTCTAAATCAATGAGCCATATATCTGAAAATCTTTTTCTACCTTCCACGGTGGTTGACGCTTCATAGCATAGAGCATCTCCATCATCTGAAGTGTTTGCGGTATTGCCTTGTGGATTGGAGTTTTTATTGAGACTCCAACAATCCTTCTTCAAGTGATCATTCTTTCCACAGTGGTAGAACTTTAAATTCTTTTTTCTTCTGGACTTTGATCTACCATGTTTGTGACTACTGCTTTGGCCACGTTCTGTTGATCTCCCTCTCGTCATTGTCTATGCTTCTACTTGTTGCAGATTTACTTTTCTGTATTCCTTGTTCTTGCGCCGATTTTCTTCTTGTAAAATAGCAGCTACAACGTCATCGAAGACTAGACTGATGACATTACTATTTGTCAAGTTGATGATGAGTTGATCATACGAATCCGGTAGACTTTGAAGTAGAAGTTCAGCATGTTCTTGTTCTTCTATTTTACAGCTTAAGGATGTAAGCTGAGAAAATAAGGTGTTTAGTGTATTTAAGTGCTCCGTCACTGAAATATATTATGGCATACGGAGAGTGTACAATTTCCTCTTAAGGAAAATTTTATTGTGCAACGATGTGGCCTCGTACAATTTGGTGAGATGATCCCATATCTCCTTAGCTATTTTCTTCTCCTCGATGCTTAATAATACTTTATCTGCTAATGCTAGATGAAAGTTTTCCATAGCATTTCCGTCCATCTCGTTCCATCTGTTGTCATCTACGAAATCCATCGGTCTTTCATTGATAGCCGCTAAACACCTGTCTTTCCTCAGGATTGCCTTCATCTTTAATTTCCATAGTGAGAAATTTCTCCTATTGAATTTTTCAATATCAAATTTTGTTACCATAGCTTCTATTACGGATAGCTCCCACTATTTCACTATCATGAATAGTTCTCTGGAACCTTCAAAGAATGGGTAATACCTTCTTACTTTCTTATGTTGGAGGATCCACCTTTTGGTAGCAACCACAAAGACAATAAGCAGATATTACACTCTCTAATCTGGCTCGGATACCAATTGTTGCGGAAGACGGCTATCGGATAGATCAAAATCGCAACTAATAATTTGAGAAAATAAAAATAAAGATAAAAGAGACACAAAATTTACGTGGAAAATCCCTAAATAATATAGGGTAAAAACCACGGGTAACGGTAGAAGAATTTCACTATGAGAAAATAGGAATTACAACTTCTCTCGATCTACCAAGGAGAAAACAATGATAATTCTCTCTTGATAAAAAGGAGAAAACAACTCTCAAGAAACTATCTGAATTCTCTAGTATTGGGAGAAAGCTAGAATGCTTTGGGATGATTTTGAAGCTAAATGAGCTAGGGTATTTATAGTTGAAACATAAGGACTAATTTGTAAATACCCTAAAGTACAATGACTAAATTGAATTATCCCATTTAATAAAACATTTTCATGCACCTTTCGGTGCATTAATTCTTGAAAATAATTGACAAATTGCTTGGCACTTTCGGTGGTGCATGCATTTTCAACACATTAGGCTATTAAAGCTCGATTGACTGCAAAAGGTGATCTTCGTCACAACAAGGCTAGGGAAGATGGGAAGGTCTTTTCCTTTGACCTCCTTGACTCTGATGGAAGGAAAAACGAATGACCAACTTCAACGCAAATTTTGATCGCTTCTACAATGTTATTTAAGTTGGTAAAGTTTACTTGATTTCAAAGGGTAGCTTGAAACTTGCACAAAAGAATTTCAACCATTTGAGGAACGAGTGGGAGATATTCTTGGAGTCAAATTCAACCGTGGAGCCTTGCGCTGATGAAGATGGCTCTATTCTGAGTCAACAGTTCTTCAGACCTATCAGTGAAATTGAGAGTGCTAAAAACAATTCTATACTTGATGTTATCGGTATTGTGATATCTGTAAATCCTTCATTTCCTATTTGTGTACCCATCTCTGTTTTCTCTTTGTTTTTAACAACGTTATTTTTTCTTATGTTTTGTCTTCTCAATCATATTTCTTTGGTTGGTGAGTAACCTTTCAGTCTCTCTATCTCAGGGTAAAAAAGTTAGGTGTTCTACTTCCCAATCAAAGCATCGATTGTTTGTTGGTAATATTTCGAGAAGCTGGGGGGAGGAAGACCTAAGGAAGGTTGTGTCAAAGGTTGGTACTGAAGTTACTGGTTTAGAATTAGTGAAGGTTAGTTTAATGACCTTGTGTATTTGTTTTCTCGTCTCTAGCATATTATTGGGTAACTTGTGATCTCTAGGACTATTCAGAGGTAATGTTGTCGTGTATTTTTTTTTTTGCTTGTAGGATGTGAAGAACTAAAGTAATAACAGGGACTTTGCCTTTGTTGAGTATATAACAATTCATGTGCTAAGTATTCAAGGGAGAAGATGCATTTGTTAGAACCAAATCATATTATATATGGAAATAATTAGGATCTAATCATGCTAAATCATAAAGAATAAAATAAATACTAGGTTAGCGGAAATGTACCTGAATTAATTGCTAGGTTAAAATCTTTAAATCTTTCTTTGGTTGTGATCTTCCAAGAAGATAGAGTTCCTTAAATATAAACTCTCTGACGGGATAAGAGTAAATTCAAGAATGTCTATTTCTTGGGAACCATAACCCCTTTATATAACTGATTTAAGAATCAATTATTATTTGTACTTATAACTTTGTCCCTCATCAAGTTATAAATACAACTTTAATGGTATCTACACTTTTATTTCCATGACACTTCTAATACCTTATGACTTTACAACATAATTGTTCACTTAATTGATGTCATATTTTATTATAACAATATACATTATAAATATGTACTCGTACTTATGGATTTTAATCCAATAATCTCACACTTGGGCAACATATGGTTCCTAATAAATGTATAACCTTATGAGCTTAAAACTTGTTATCATACAATAGATATTCTATAACATTCTCGTCCATCGACCATATCCATATAGGATCAAAGCAGCCTTTGCAATATCTATCATGACTAGACCCATCAATGGTCACGTATACAAATACAGTCAAATGATATAGATCAATCATGGAGCGTAACATGGAAATTACATGCAATGTGAACCACACATGTCTATTTCCATTTGGTCCTCTTTAAACATTAGTGAGATCAAATTTTACCAAAGCCAGAGTGCGGATAAACCAAAATAAACTTTATTTCTGCATAAAATAATCTTAAAATAAATATCATTAAACCGAAGTAACTGAAATTATGTTTATAATAAACAAGCATTAAATACAAACTCCTACTAAAATTGAATATCCTTAAATGATATTACACCCATATGAGTAGTATGCTCATGAAAGACCTTGGGTGACAATTCCTTAGAAGCATGTAATTATGAGTTTGTACTAATATGCTCTATAAACACATAACTACTATGAATTTTCTTTAACAACCAAAAATATAAGGTCTATGTGCTTAGACTTAAGGTGTTTCTACTATATATGGAATAAAGGACTACAACTTAGTTGTCACAAAATAACTCAAGTGGTCTTTTTTATCAATCCATAATTAGCAGTCTATATGACAAAATTTTGCATCCATATTCCAATAAATTAGAGCCCATAAACCTAATGGAGAGAAAACTTCTTCACAACTCGCTTGCTTTAGCCGCTGGGAAAAACCTATCAAGAAAAATTCGACTCATGTCAGCCCATGAATTAAATGAATTAGGAGGTAAATAACATAACCAATCTTTAGCCAAGCCGGCTAAAAAGAAAGGGAAAGCTCTCAATTTAATTTGATCTTCGGTAACTCCATGTGGTTTCATACTAGTGCAAACCATGTGGAATTCCAAAAAGTGTTTGTACGGATTTTCATTGGCAAGGCCGTGGAAAGTAGGAAGAAGATGAATAAGTCCCGTCTTTAATTGAAATGGAGTCCTGCCATTAGGAAAAGTGATGCATAATGGTGTCTGAGTGACAGGAGTTGCGGCTAGCTCACGGATCGTTTGTTCTTCTTCTGCCAACGGGCTTTGATCTTCGTTATATGTATCTGCTTCATAGTCTATCTCTAGATTTGATTCCGTTTCTAAACTCTACTCTTGTTCGTCTTGTCTTTTTCTTTTTTTCTCGAAGCGTTTGTGCGTGGATTCTTCATGCTCGTGCTTCGATCTCCGGGTCAAGATCTACTAATTCTCTCGGGTTTCTTCTGGTCATAAATAAAAAACAAAGAAAAATAAATCAGTACTTATCGTTAGTCCCTGACAGCGTCGCCAATTTGTAACGCGTCGTTTTCGTGTCAAAATAATTCCTTACTCCCAAAAGAAATATAAAGAAAATATAGCAAGTGGAAAGTAAGGGTCGATCCCACAGAGACTATGTAGTTTCTAATTTAGTTTATCTTTTTTGTTTTTGAATAGTAGAGTTTGGATAGGGATGAAATTTAAGATAAAAAGTAAATAAAAATATAAAATATAAAAAATAAAAGGTGAGGAAAGAATAAGATAAATAGTGGGATTTTGAAAGACTGTTTGAAAATAAGATAAAGACAAATAATAATAAAAATAAATAAAATAAAATAAAATAAAATAGTCATTTGAGTTTGAAAATAAGACTTATTGTAAAAAGTAGCCTCAGGCTTTCAGCTTTGAGTCAATTTCCTCGGATCATCGAAATAGATCTTTACTTCAGGATTCACGCCGGTTACTTGTCTACAAGGATAAATCCTTGTGACTATGCTTTGTATACCTAATACCCAAGTACTATCTTTAATATCGGTTTGTAAATTGATCTAATCAACAACAATGTTGTAGATCTAAAAACGTTGAGGCTCGAAAAGCTGTCGACTCAGATTACATTGTTTCAATAATAATCGGTTTCGATCTCAGTTTCCTCGTAGAAAACAATTTTGCTAAGTGTGTTCCCATGAAGTCAAATGTGCTTCAATAAGCTGATCCTTCCTCTCACGTTAACCGCAACAACATCCAGACCAACGTCGACTTTTTGGTTTTAAAATTTTTTTTGATTTGAAAATAAGCCCAGAAAACAGAGAGAGATATCCGAAGTAATTTAAGTGCTTTACAATTCTCACGTTTGGAATTGAGTCATCGCTTTAGCCTTCAGCTTAAAATAAAATTAGCTAAGCAGGACAAAAGTCATACTTAGCATATTTGAAAATAAAACTTAAAATGAAATAAAATAAAAAGTGAAAACTTGAAAAGAAAAGAAAAGAGATAACTTTATAAAACTAAAAAGAAGAAGAAGAATAAATTCTCAGTTGTAGAGAGATGTATTTTTAACCTTACCCTGAGAGGGTATTTATAGCCTTCAAAATCCTAAAAACAAGGTAAAGATAATTCCTAAAATAAAGAAATAAATCCTAATGAAAATACTTAAAACTATTTAAACTAAAATACTAAAAACAAAGATAAGATATAATATAATATAATATTTAAAATAATATATTATTAAAACATGAGTTTAATTCAAATCTGAATTGCAGAAATGTGCAGCTGACCCATTCGTCCTTCTAGAAGCGCTGACTGAACCTTCTACAAGGTGTTGAAGTCATTGCCTCGTAATATGTGTGTCATGCCCAAAGTCATGCCCACTAATCAAACTTTGATTCTGAAAATTAAAAAACTATAGAATTCTGTCCTTTTAGTTCAATTTCCAGAATCTAGTATCCTGCACAGAAAATGAATCAAAACGAACAAATAAGCCACAAAAACCAACGATTAAGGTGCAATTTAAAAGAAAAATAATAACCAAATAAAGCACTTATCAGTTCTCAAACTTTATTATCTTGTATAGAACTTATACTTTACTTGAAGGCATTAATCCATTTTTTAGAGTCATAACCTTTATGACATGACGAAAGTTGATTGGATCATCTTTCATCATTCTACTGTCATCCTTATTTTTTTATAGAAAAACTTAAAATAATAATTCTCTCATATAGTGGGTATTCCTAATGACACTTTTTCTTTAATGTTGTTGAGTTTGTTCTTTCGTAATAATTTCTCACCTTAAGTGGAGAGTTGTTCAATATTATCTTATTGAGGTTATATATTCACTTCTTAATTAATGACATGTATGAACACATGGATATCATCTAAAGTGATAATAGGATTGATTTATAATTCAATTCCCCCTGAAAAGCAATTCGTTCAACCTTATTTCTCCCTCCAACCTCAACATCCTAAAAAATGCTATAGATATCATCTTAAAAATATTACTAATTATGATATCGTAAAACTTATAACCCTTGGATCGTTGATCGATTGTAAATGTATATGATAAGGCAAGCAAATATGTGCAAGTATACACAGTTGGATCAAGTAAAACAGGGTAAGTGAGTTATCGTCTCCTCAGGGATTGGTAGGGGTTTTGATGTTTCACCACAACAAGAACTAGGTGTCACGAGCTAGTTCCTAAATTCTTGTCAAAACAGAAAAACAATTAACAATGGATTATATGAACAAGTGTTAAAGTGTTGTTAAAGCAAGATAATAATGTGAAGTATGGTTATAGAAAAGTTTGGTCGAGGTAAAGAAAATATGAAAAAATAACAAATAAAAATTACCAAGGCAAAGAAAAACGTTGACTCAAATATATTCAGAATAACCTCACATATTCAGACTTTTCATATAGCACTCAGGTTAGTCTTTTGCTATGGAAAGAAATTATTCTAAGTCTGGAAGGATTTGTTATGATATGCTTAGGCTGCCCGACAAGATTACTGAGTATTCGAAGACTAATGCTATAGAAATACTACTCAGCGTTAACTACAACCCTTTGTTTGTCAGACTGTTGTTGTAGTAATACCCCTCAGCATGAACTATAGTCGTTGTCTATCCTACTCAAGCGCCTATCCCTTTTTATTCAATTGAAACCCTCTCCTTATCTCTAAGGTAGGTAGGTTACAGCATCACCATCTCGGATCTATTCCATTGTTCACGTAGATCTATCTTAATTCTCTCGAATCTAAGAATCAATTTCTAGAAAAAAAAGGCAATCTCTCGAATGCTCTTACAAGGTCTAGAAGTGTTTCACCTAAGCATCATACCATCTCTCGAAAGATCTTATAATGAATAGGCAAATATTAAAACAATGAACAAAATAGACGTAAGCAAAATCATAATGCAACATTCATGAACCATAAAATAATTGTCTCGGCAAAACAAAAACCAACACTAAGTAAAGCAATTCATGGTGTTGCTAAAGTGTCATCCAATAGTATCATCGTTTAATACAAACCCTAAAATAGATTAAAAATTAAGAACAAAGGAAGAACGACTCCCAAAACAGAGGGTTCTGCCGTGACGGCTCTGACCAGCACCACACTGGCT